AATCGAATAAAATTTAATATTCAAGGTATTGCAATATATTTAAGCAGTGAAAAAGAAAATAATGTAATTAATGTTGTTCAATTTATAGTAGTCGTCATGGAGGTTCCGTCTTTGCATCCGGGACCTGCCTCCCTAGAGCTACTACAGCTATGCTCGTCCTACATATGTGAGGGGGAGTTATTGGCCTAGACTTTATGTTCTAGGAGAATAGACGGTGTCTGAGACTTTCTTAACGAACGCCAGCTCCATCCCCGTGTAGTCAGACTCCTGCAGGATACGGGCTTTTATAGGATCAATGAGATCGGCCGGCTGCAGCTGGATTGGTCGTTGCTCACGGCTTTGATAGAGCGGTGGCGACCAGAGACGCACACATTCCATTTGCCCATTGGCGAGGCCACTATCACGCTGCAGGACGTGGAGGTCCTTTATGGGCTGCCGGTTGATGGACTTGCTGTTTCTTTGCCGCGAGGCATGAGAGATTATACGGGAGCTCAATACCTGGAGAATTTGCAGCGGCTCACCGGTTTCCGACCATAGGATGAGGGTGTATTGGTTGGGGCTAGTCGTATTTCGTTGACGCCCATCCGACAGTATTTGGAGGCCATGCATGATGACATTACTCATGACACAGCAGAGCTTCATATTAGGTGGTACACGAGGTCACTGCTTCGGGAAACCTAGTCAGCTTGAGATTTCTTCATCATCTTGAGCTACTAGATGATTTACCTCAGTACAGCTGGGGTGCTGCTATTCTTGGTTATTTGTACCGGTAGATGTGCTGGGTATGCATGGGCACCCAGCGAGACGTTGCAGGATTTATGCCGCTGCTGCAGGTGAAAACATAGACAAATACTGTCTTCATTATAACATACATCATAAAAATATACCTTAAATTTTACGTCCAAATTGTATATTATATTTGGGCCTGGGAGCGGTTCCTGCAGTTTCAGCCACCTCTACCACCCATAGCTCAGGATGCACCACCTCCACCATTTCTCCATTTGGCTAGGAGGTGGGTTGAGAGGCGGGTATACTGACGCGAGTACGGGGCTCGACATAATCTCCCGTATTGCAGAGATTTGTTAGATTTGCTGGAGGACGCGCAGGTAATTATATACTTAAGTTTACTTGTCCTGGATTTATATGTGTTGCGTATACTCAAGGTTCCTGTTTTTACGTGATAGTTCATTTGGACGCCCTACAGCGACGCATTAATAGCTAGTTTGCCCGATATTGCTCGACCGGGCGACTTATGTGGAGCTCTTCCGTCCCGTTGGTATGTCTCAATATTGTCGAGCATCATGCCATCGAGCGAGTCCTTCGCCAGTTTGGTCGACCGTAGCATGTACCTCCACCGTCCGCTTGGGTTCGGACTCATTACAAGCAGGATGATCGTTCGAAGGTTGACCAGGCATATGAGGCATGACTAGAGGTGCAGATCGAGAGTTGGGACCAGTGGCGTAACCTGATTCCGCCACCCCCTCAAGCCCATCTTATGGATGATGAGCATGCGTATATCGGCTGGTATCGCGGCAGTACCCGACTTATCATCGGAAATCCCGTTCATCGCGCTGGCGGTCGTTTCGTTCCATACGCCGGGAGGCATAAGGCGCTGGTATGTTATTTGGTAACATTACCGTTTAATGAATACTTAGTTATAACATTAACATTACCGTTTCGCAATTAATATTTTACATGTTGTGCAGGTTATTGGACTACATATGTTCCACCAGTTGGGACTGCAGATGCAGCAGCATGCCGGCGAGGGAGCGGCCGCTTTGCACGACTATGGCCGACAGGTTACAGATTTGGCTGCCCGGATATTGCAGCGAGCCCGGGATAGTGAGCGCTTAGCACACGAGGCTGATTATATGGCGCCAGAGCAGTACTATCGTGGGCCAGCAGTGCAGCCTGAACGTGGTCGACGTAGCAGGGGTATGCCACGAGGCAGGGGCATGCCACGAGGTAGGGGTGTCCCACAAGGTCGTGGTGGTCGGTGAGGAGGTGGGGGTCGGCGAGGAGGTGGTCCCCAGCAAGGGGGCGTTGAGGCACCTGTTGAGGATGTTGGAGTTGATCAGCCGGGTGACCGCCTTGATCCTAGCGATATCCCGTCATTTAGCTTGGGGCTTACTCCAAGGACTTCGCAGGTGACCCCCTCAGCTCCATTTTTGATCGCGGGCACGGCCTTTACCTCACAGAATTGGGATGCATATTTTCCTCACCTTCTAGAGGCATCAACGGTTGCTGATGCTCGTCCGGTACGAGATGTGGATAGTGGGCACCGACTTAAGTATGTCTCACCACCGAGGGATGTTGAGGATCTTTCACATGATTTGGTTAGTTTGTATTACTATTACTTAATTTTTGTATTTATCTCATTGATTAGTCATAAATATCTAAAGAATATTTTTTTTTGAAGCCATCATCCTCGCTCGTCGCAGAGGCCACTAGGTGCGACACTCACATACCTGAGACGGGATGAGTATATTCAGGAGCCCGCTGTGATCGTGGTGAGACATTTTAATTATTTTTATGCAATTAACCCTTACATTACTATTATATATTTCATATACTAAAATATGTCATTATTCTGTAGGCTACTGCTGCACCGACGACCCCTTCTACCGAGCCTGCCAGCCTTACTGACGATCATGTTGCAGCTCATCCTCTGATAAAGAGGCGTCGTGATGAGGATGATCCTAATAGTGTTATTTCCGGGCGGGATGGAATGCGCCTGAGGCCAGCGGCTGCTTTAAAGCATAAAGGATGTGGGACACATTAATTTTTTTTGATTTTATGCACATATGACAATCAGTAAATAATGAAAACTATTTTTATTATTTATATTATATGTGCATTATGTTCTTATTTCTCCGGTTCTTAGTTATTTTAATACTACAATACAAGCACAAACATAGAAACTTAACATATTTTAAATTTAGTACAACAAATGAAAATACAAGACACGAAAAACATAAAGATAAAATACTACACTCAACACATACATGTCATTGGTTAGTCACTACCGCCTAGTATTTTCTGCTCCAACCACTTAAATTTCTCTTCCAACTTATTTTTTTCTTCTTCCGCCTCTTTTAGTTTCTCCTGCAATTCTGCATTTTTTCGTTTCATTTAAGACTCACGGCGTCGGTATTCACAGTTCATATTCCAAATATACTGCAAAGATTTTTTGTAGCATTCCTGCTCAATGGCTCGTTTTCACTGCACAACCAAAGAAATAATGAGTTACTGAAATTGCTCCAAACAATACATATAACTTTATATATTTACTTACAAATCATAATGTGTTGTAGGAGTGGCAAACGGGCGGGTCGGATCGGATATGGTTCGGGTCGAAAACGGGTAATGAAAAAACGAATCAATTATCCGATCCGACCCATATTTAATAAGGATAAAAAACGGGTTAACCGGCGGATAATATGGATTACCCATATTATCCATGACTTCTTGAAAATGATTACTTTTGGGAGAATTCTTAGTCTCCCTAACTTGAGGAACCCCCAATTTGAGGCTTTACAAATGTAAAAGTTAGACCCATTGGTTATCGATTGGTTACTTATTGGTTATCCATTTTCTAAATGGATAATATGGTTCTTATCCATATTTGATCCGTTTTTAAAAAGTTCATTATCTAACCTATTTTTAGTGGATAATATGGGTGGTTAACCATTTTGCCACCCCTAATGTGTTGATATCCCATGATGCACATTATCTTGTTGATGTTGACTCCCGGATGGACCACCATGATCAAACACACCAAAACTAGGCATATTCCAACTGGCCGTTGGTCCATAATTTGTAAAATTCATATCTGGTCGGTACCCCTATGGTATATATGAGTGTTAATACAAATACAATACACAAAAATATACATCGTAACACAAAGGATAATTGAAGTTTACCACTCGGCTTATGGATTATGTATACTAGGGGAGAAATTATTTCCTCGCTCCTCATTCGCCCATGGAGATAAGTTTAGATCTGGCCAAACTCTTTCAGCCGGAACCTGTTCGGCTAAAACTGCTCCAAAATAACCACCTGATGATTGAGGGATTTCTCTACTTTGCGCAACATCATTATTGCGAACATCTTCAGCCTTGACGTACATTTCCAACAATTTTATCACAATAAATTCCCTGTATTCATCTGGGATCCCCAAAAAATCTCTCAGAATTTCATCGTCTTCGATGTTAAACTCAGCATAACAAGCAACCCCTTGCGGAGTCATAGAATACGAATATCTTCCGATTATTTTAAGATTCATCGAACGTTTGCTCACACTCATTTTATTACATAACAACGTATCGTACTCCATTGTAAGTGGCAACTTAACATGACACTGTGGAGATAAACTATAGCTTACTGAGTTATTCGCCACCACAACCTCACCCCCTCCCCCCAATATAATGAAACCCTAATTTTTCGCTCTTCAGACATTATGACAAAATGCAAAACAACTTAACAAAGAAAATTTTCAGAACACTTGAAAAATTTCAGAACACTTGAAGATGTTTATGAATGGATTTTTACAAAATCCTTCATCTCTTTAAATAAGGCAAAAATCAACCCGGGGGTTCAATTATTAGAGGTATAGCGTTTTTAAAAAAAGCGCTATACCCAGTTAAATTATTGTTATGTGAGTTAACCACAGAAGAATTATTTGTGACCCACTTAACATATATAGCGTTTTAGTAAAAAACGCTATATATATAGCGTCTTTTTGAAAGACGCTATACATACCTGGCCAAACGGCCGTTAAAGTACAGCGTCTTTTAAAAAGACGCTATATATAATTTTGGTCACTAACTTTTTTCCCCACACATTTCGGTCATTTGAGTCCAAAGGAGCCACATTTTGGTTCCGAATTAACCAAAAGTGTCCCCCCCTCCCCCCACACCAAAAAAAATGACCAAATACTGAGTGACTACCTGGACTACGTACTGAAATCACAATGTCAAAAAGAAGCAGGGGGCCGGTTAAAATTTATCGGTACCTTTACAATCAGTAAGCAGAAGTCATAGCCTCAATCTTATGTAAAAGCCTAACTTGTGTACTATACACACTACAGCCATAATGGAAGCAAATATTAACAGCAAAATGTATTGATCTTTCCTATATATTTCCTTTCTTTTCGGAGGGTGAGAGTTCAAAAATTCTCTTAGTATTGCTAATTTAGACAGATGATCGCCATATTTTTCCTTCGAAAGATATAATGATAATCGAGACATCATCATGGTACTGTCGACGATCTCCAGGTGGTATGTCAAGTAACTCATGGAAATTCATGCCTGCAATATCCGAAAATAAAGCTCTTGAGTTGAATGCCTATGAAAAATTAGTACTTAGAGATTAAGTACAAACGAAGGGAGCCTTGGAGCAACAGTAAAGTGGTCTCCGTGTGACGTATAGGTCACAGGTTCGAGCTGTGGAATCAGCCACTGATGCTTGCATCAGGATAGGCTGCCTACATCACACCCCTTGGAGTGTTGCCCTTCCCCGGACTCTGCGTGAATGCGGGATGCTTCAAGCACCGGGTGCCCTTTTTTTTATTATAGATTTAAGTACAAATATGGTGTTATGCAATTACCAGCTTTCTTAGCAGCTCTGAATAACACTTGTTCAACAAGATGTTGAGATGGATCTCCCTCAGGGAATATAGACATGAAGTTTTCAACTTCAGAGACTGCTTCTTCATTGGTGAAGTATTGGTAAAGCCCATCAGAAGATAAGATCAAAAATCTGTCTCTAGGGCCAAGCTTATGGTGGTAAACTGATGGTAAACAGTTGATATAAGGATAATTTCCAATATAGTCAATTCTGAACATCTCTAGTAGTCCATTGTTCCATTTGGGCTGTATCAAACAAGTCGAAAAGACATAAACATAAGCGCGTGAAAACTTAGAGAAATGTATTTAGTTCAGGTTAAATGCAGTAGCAAAACAGTAACAAGTTACGAGCATAGAGGCAAAACGTGTAACATTAAGCTTAAAATTACCTCTTTGAGATAACCTGCCCCGAAAGCTCGAGTGACCTTCAGGGAACCCTTCACTCTATCATTTTTAATGACAGAAGCATCATCAGGATGTTCATTTCTAATCCTGAGAACTTCCTGCAACAATTCATAAGACAAGCCCAAGAATTAGTATATGAAACAAGGGAAGACAACGACGACAACAATGACATACCCAATATAATCCCACAAGTAGGGTCTGGGGAGCTAAGTTGCTCGGACACAGGTGTGGGTGTCCGACATGGATGCGGATCTAGAGGTCGAATCCTTCGAGATGTAAATTCTAAGATACAGAGATACGGATCCTAGTACGGATACGGGTGTGAGGATCTTAAATTCAAAAAAATAAAAAAAAATCTCTAAATTATGAGAATTTTTGTGTAATACTTACGTATAGCTTGTAAAATATGGATTTCTTTTTTATTCTCAAGTTGTAGATAAGTAAAAAGATTGATTTCCTAGATAAGGTATGTTATTTTCTTCAAATTTACCATAGCTTTGGCTCTGATTTCGGTAGTCAAATCGTATCTCGTCTCGAATTTTTTCGTCTGTCATGGTCAAAGTACCCAAAATTGTTTGACCAAATCCGGTACGGATCCTATACCCACACCCATACTAGTGTCGTGTCGATTAGGGTGCGACACCTAAACTGCCGTGTCGGAGCAACTTAACTGGGGAGGATAGTGTGTACGCAGACCTTACCCCTATCTAGGGAAGATAGAAAGGCCGTTTCCGATGGATCAAAACAGGGGAAAACAAAATCTTGACGATATTTGTCTATGTAGACAGGCTAGAATTTTTACCTCTTTAACAGATGTGGTATGATCCATGGTGAGTTGACAAGAAGTAAGGTTAGATTCAACTCGACATAGTGCATCAGTGCTATTTAAAGTCTCCTCGTTTACCCATTCCAATTTGCCAATTGAAGGATGGGATTCAGGATTTTGAGCTAAAATTGCTCTGCTATCTCCAACATTCATGAAGTAAACATCCTTACCATTCAACAACATTACTAAAACACAAGATCCCATTAAAGCCAGCTCAGGATTCTCCTTCACCATTCTATCAGCCATCTCCAAATACGACGCCTCAGTTTTCCTCAACGCCTCTGATAACGCCTTCAAGATATCAAAATGGTCAATACCTACTACTCCGTTTGTTCCTAAATTGTTCAACTTCTCGTCAAATTCTTGACTCTGATGTACCAATGGAACAGTGTCATTATTCGTCGAATCCTCAGAGATTTCTAACTTGTTATTCCAGAGAAATCCTTTGAGCTCTTTGATGACATTTGAATAGAGATTGTTTAACAGAAAATCAGTAGCATCAGGTCCATTAAATCCATCATAAATCCCAACAAAAACCCAATCATGTTCTTCAGAAACCACTATATGTACTCTGTCTTCCCCTGCTTTCCCCTGAGCCCACTGTACATTTCCGTCAACGTCATCAGCCAAATTAACTTGGCAATTAATTTTATTCTTCTTCTCTATAAAACTCATTTCTTCAATCCCCAGAAAGGAGCTTGACAAAACTTTCCTCAAACTTCTAACTAAATCCAATTTGTTAGACTTGGATTTCTCCAAAGGGAGGGATATGAAGCCCCGCTCAATTGGGCCAGAGAGAAATCCCCTCTCGGTCGGACCAGAGCCCGAGCAAGAAACTCGGGGAATCAGGCCCGACCGAACAGAGGCTATTGATCTTCCGGGGATAGGCTGAAGAGGAATAGAAGAGAATAAAGGAGAGCTTTCAAAAGCTGAAGACGATATGTCAGTATAAGGGCAGAAGTCGAAAAGTGCAGTAGAGAGAGGTGTGGAAGCGTTAGCCGATATGGAAGCGCCGGAGATGGTGCGAAACACCGTGGTTTGGCTGCTGTTAGTAGAGGAGGAGGAGGAGGAGGAGGAGGAGGAGGAGGAGGAGAATTCATCGGAGAAAGAAGGGTCTGGCCGGATGTAGCAAAATGAATGGCCTAAACCGACGTCGTCGAGATTCACGGCGATATCGTGGTGTCTTTTCGAGATTTCTCCAACATCTCCGGCGAAACAGAGCTTCAATTTTCCCATCCCATTACCCATTTGGAGAGAACGACACTATGTTCTTTTCAGATGTTTATTGGAGTGAATATGATTTATTTTTTTGGTTCCTACTAATATAAAGCATACTGCATTTAAAAGAAAGGAAATCCTCATTAACAAAATCATAAAGACGGAGATATCTAAAGCTGGTTGTCATTAATGGTTTTAACCATTGAGATTTAAGAAGAAAGAAAGAGCTAAAGTTTGAATTTAAATAGAGAATAAGAAGGCACACAAGGGAGGAATTAGGAATATATAGGTTGAAAATATCAGGTGGTTTAAGTTTTAGTAGTATTTAAATTCAGAAAAGGTAGAAAGAGAGAGTGGGGAGAGAGATGGAAGAAGGTAGTTGACTTTTGAGTTCTGATACAAAAGTTTAAGGTATTAGTCGAAGGCCTAAAAATGCCACTCAACTTTGAGAAATGGTCTATTCATGCCATCCGTTAAAAAAATGCTCATTTCATGTCACTGCCATTAAAGAAATAGCTTATCCATGTCATTATTGACTAACGGCAGTGGCATGGATGGGCTAAATAAAAATTGAGCTGTTAGTCAATAATGGCATGGATGAGCCATTACTTTAACGACAGTGGCATGAAATGATCATTTTTTTAACGGATGATATGGATAAACCATTTTTGAAAATTGAGTGGCATTTTTAGGCCTTTTCCGTTCCCTGTATATGTTTCTTGGGGTGGGCGTTGACATTGATTGTTTTAACATTTGGTTTGGTGTTCTTTTGTGAGTTTTGAGTAAGAGTTAAGCTGTGCGATTTTTTAAATATTTGACAATTTTTGAAGTCAGAAATGGAACTTGAGATCATTATTGGAGCCACACTCGCAGAGGGTCGCATGGTCTATTATGGGCTACTGTGCTTTTTTACGAAAGATCAACTGGAACGAATGATATTGGTAAATAGCCATTTTTTCGGTCGGTTATTAGAATTTATTCATATTTTAAATCGTTTTGATAAAGTAGTTAGTACTTATTTATGCGGAAATACAAATTTAGATATAAATACTCCTATCTAAAATACGGAACAAACTCCAGGATTGGACTTTGAATATTTATAAGTTCAAAATTCAATAATTGTTCCCGGAATTTTAATGACCTGAAGCAGTAGATTTCAATTGTTAAAGCATAATGTGAATTTCAAAAACTATGAATCGTTCCTAGATTTTTCTGGATTTTGCACTAGTAAATGTACAAAAACCAATAATTTTTCGTGAATTTTGTATTTAAAGGTTAAAAATTACTGACGTATAATGTGAATTCAAAAATCATAAATTGTTCCTCGATTGTCCTAGATTTTGTACTAGTAAAGGTTCAAAAATCAATAATTTTTTCTGAATTTTGTATTTGAAGGTTAAAAATTGTTTAAGTATAATGTGAATTTAAAAACCATGAATCATTCTGGATTTTGCACTAGTAAAGGTTCAAAAACTAAGAATCGTTCATGGGGTTGAGATTTTGTACTAGTAAAAGTTGAAAATTGCTAGATTTTGAAAATTTTAACATTGTTTACTGGGATTTCACATGTCAAAATTTCGAATTCTAGTACTGGTTACTGGAAAACTGTTCTGTATTTTAGTGGGGGAAAATACGTCAAGTTAATAAATCAGCGACTACTTTATCATTACAATTTAAAATCTGGCTAAACTCTAATAGCCGCTCCAAAATATGGTCAACCCAACTAACTTTTACTGTCTATTTGCATATATTCTGTTGGAGTGATGTGTATATACATTAGTTAGTAATAGGGGTTAATTTGTACATATTAGAAGTTAGTGGTAGTCATTTGTTATTTAGCATAGTGTTAACTAATTAGTGGATAGTTAGTTATAAATATCTATATAAGGGTTCATTTTCAGTTACTGAAGAACCGACATTTCTTCTCTCAAGGTCGATCTTCAATGGCAGAAATCTAACATGGTATCAGAGCGGAGAAGATCGATCCTCAGTGTTCTCGTTCAAGTTCGTTAGGTAAAGTTGAGTTTAACGCAGAGCTTTCAATTTTCCTTCTTATTAGTTGTTAGCTTGATTGTTGCATTGAATTGATCGTCAATGGCGACGGAGAAGATCCACCACACACATGCACTGTTTCTTCAGCCTTCGGACACACCAGGCTTGGTGTTGATTCCAGGTGTTGATTCCAATTCAGCTCACAGGCTCTGAAAATTATGGCCAATGGAGCAGATCGATGAAGCTGGCTCTAAAGGCTAAGCGAAAATTAGGGTTCATCGACTGCAAAAAGGAGTCGTTTAAGGATGCTCTCAATGAGGAATGGGAGACCTGTAACGCAATAGTGCATTCCTGGATTATGAACTCAGTTTCAAAGGATCTTGTTAGTGGAATCATATATGCATCTGATGCGCATACTGTATGGGAAAACCTTAAGGAGCGATTGGATAAAGTGAATCGAGTAAGGATTTTCCAAATACACAGAGCAATTTCAAGTTTATCACAAGGAGCTGACTCTGTTGCTGTCTATTTTACTAAGCTGAAAGAGCTTTGGGCAGAGTAAGATGTGTTGGTACCTTCGCAAAATTGTGGTTGTGCAAGGGCAAAGGAACACACAGTTCAAATGTATCAACAACGATTAATGCGGTTCCTAAATGGGCTAAATGACATATACGATCAAGCACGCAGGCAAATTCTGATGAAGACTAATGAACCAACTCTTAATTAGGCATATGCATTGATTTCTCAGGATAAGAGTCAACAAGCCATGGGAAACCTATCAGTGACAGAAAAATTGGATCCTTTGGCTATGCAAGCAGGTAGATGGCAAGGATATCGTGGGAGAAAGCAGTTACTATAATGCGAGCATTGCAAGATGAAAGGAAACACTAAAGAAAACTGCTTCAAAATCATTGGGTATCCAGATTGATTTCAAGGCAAAGAGAGGATATCAACCAAGAGGAGGACCTATGACAGTCAATAATGTGGAAGGACCATCAGCAGTTGGGCATTTGCAAAGCAAGGGTGGTGACTACTTCTTCACTGAAGCCCAATACCAGCAGATCCTAAGCTTGCTTAACAAGGAAGGACCCAGTGATACCACAATGCAGACACAAGCTAACATGGTAGGTACAATTTTCTCACTTTCTTCAGGTATGCCTCCTGATGAGTGGACTATTGATTCAGGAGCTACACACCACATAGCTTCTACCCTGAATCTTTTACATAACATTCAAAGTATTGACAAACATAAAAGGGAATCAGTAAGGCTGCCCAATGGAACTAGTACAAATATAACTCATACTGGTAATTCACAGTTATCAGCAGACAACATTCTGTTATGTGATGCCATTTTATTGCCTGAATTGTTTGTGTTTCATGACCTCTACAATGGCAAGGTGAGGGGCGGTAAGGAAAGTGAAGGGCTATACTTGCTGAAAGGAAAAGGAGTTAAAATAGTAGCAGCTGTCAGAACTGAAGGGAGAGCAGGAGATTCAAGCTGGATATGGCACATGAGGTTAGGACATGCTTCAACATCATATTGCGGCATATTCCATTTCTGAAGAATAAAGTAGATAGTAGCTTGCATAATAAATGTTCTGTATGCCCTATGGCTAAGCAATCTAGACTTGCTTTTCCTGATAGTGAACAGAGAATCACTAAAGCATTTGAGCTAGTACATATGGATGTTTGGGGGCCATATAGAGTGCCCACTCATGATAGGAAACACTACTTTCTTACTGTTGTAGATGACTACTCAAGGGCAACTTGGATATTTTTAATGCAATTGAAGAGTGAAACCATTATATTCTTGAAGCAGTTTATGTGCATGGTTAAGACTCAATTTGATACTTCTGTTAAGGTAATTAGAACAGATAATGGAACTGAGTTCTTTAACAGCCAATGGAACACCATTCTGCAAGATCAGGGAGTGATTCATTAGAGTAGTTGTGCCTACACTCCACAACAAAATGGAGTTGTAGAGAGAAAGCACAGACACATATTAGATACTGCAAGGGCTTTAAATTTCAAGCAAATTTACCAAAAAGATTTTGGGGTGAATGTGTGCAAACTGCTGTTTACATCATAAACAGGTTGCCTTCTAAAGTGTTGAGTGGAAGGTGCCCATATGAGTTGTTACACAAAAGAAAACCATCACTTGCATTGAGTGTTTTTAGTTGTTTGTGCTATGCTACAAACTTAGTGAAGGAGGACAAGTTTGCACCTAAGGCCAAAAAGGCAGTCTTGCTAGGATACTCTTCTACACAAAAGGAATATAGGCTGCTGGATTTAGAAACTAACTATTTTTTTGTTAGCAGAGATGTCACATTCAGAGAATCAATGTTTCCTTTTAGAGAATCACAGCTGCAGATTGATCCACACATAGTGAAGCAGAACCAAGATAATTTTCTGTGTTTACAGCAGAGTAACAGACATTTTGCAGAAGCTAACAATCCCGAAGAGCATGATCAAGCAACTGAAGTGCATGATCTGATTGCTTCCTTGGATCAAACAGCAGACCTACAAGTGAGAATTCAGCAGATCAACCTGCTTATGATGAAGCAGAACAATTGGAAGGAAAATTTGTATCCACAACACCTGAAAGCCTAGCTGAGGAATCAACCAGTTCTCCTGAAGACAACCTAATTGCTCCTATCCTCCAAGAAATGCCAATATCTGAGGGACCTTCCACTGCAGACATCAGGCTATCTACTAGAGTCAAACAACCACCTATATGGATGTAGGATTATGTTACAATAATGCCAAAGTCCTCACAATGTGCCTATTCTCTCTCTCTCTCTCTCTCTCTCTCTCTCTCTCTCTCTCTCTCTCTCTCTCTCTCTACCTATCCTATGACAATGTCACTCAGAAGTATAAAGATTATTTGCGTGCATTCTCAGTGATGAAGGAGCCAAACTCATTCAAAGAAGCAGTAAAAGACAAGAGGTGGATACAAGCAATGCAACAAGAAGTGAAGGCTTTGGAGGATAACAGGACTTGGGAGGTAGTTCCTATACCTGTTGGGAAATTCATAATTGGTTCCAAATGGGTATACAAGATCAAGTATAACTCAAATGGAAAAGTAGAAAGATTCAAAGCAAGGCTTGTGGCAAAGGGATACAATCAGCAGGAAGGGTTGGATTATCATGAGACATTCTCACCAGTTTCCAAAATGGTAACTGTGAGATCTGTCATAGCTATTGCAGCTTCTAAAGATTGGAAGCTTCATCAAATGGATGTGTATAATGCATTTCTTCAAAGAGATCTACAAGAATAAGTGTACATGGATTTGCCACAGGGATTTCAAAAGCAGGGGGAGACAAAGGTGTGCAGATTACTAAAGTCCTTATATGGACTTAAACAAGTTTCAAGACAGTGGAACCTGAAGCTTACAAAAGCACTGTCGAATGCAGGTTTTCATCAGAGTGCTTTTGATTACTCCCTATTCACCAAGAGATCAGGAAACGACATTGTCACGACCAAATTTCATTAAAGGTAGTGATGGCGCCGGACACCACTGTCAGGCAAGCCAACACTAAATAATCAATTTAGTTCTCGTTTTAGTATTTTTGTAATCATGATTTTTCTTCAATTTAATAGTAAAAGATGGACTCTACAGAATAAATAATAATGTTTTAACAATTTCAATACTGAATAACCCATGATCATCCCAAAACCCGGTGTCACAAATGCATGAACGTTTACTAAGGAATAAAATAAAATACAATAACTGTCCGGAATATAATTTGGACAGAAAGGGAAATACCACTGCTCTGAAGGAGACTCTATTGGCTGCAGGTCATCACGAGAGATGCAGCTCACCTAAGTCTTCGTATTAACCATGCCGCTGCGCCCACTAGGTCACTAGACATGCATGTGCCTGTGCAACAAAAATACACAGCAAGTGTAGTATGAGTACGAAAACAACGCGTACCCAGTAAGTATCCAGTCTAACCTCGAAGAAGTAGTGACGAGAGGTCGACTTAGACGTCCAGTAAAATCCGATACACTAAGTAAGTGAATAGATATGAAACAGAGTAAATATATGAAATAAACATGTATAAAATACGTGGTACAATTCCCCTCTTTACAATTTTACTCAAGCTCTCAACTAGCAAGTTCCCTCCCGGAGCATATATATGTAGATATAGTGGATATCATCAAGAGGTTGTCGTAATTCAAATCAGGAAAAACCCCTCAGATCCAACATAATAGTACTGTGCACTGCCGAGGGTCGAACGACGCGAACCATAGATGCATCTAATTCCCCGCTCGCGAATCATTCATGTGACACGGTCCCCGCTCGCGAATCATACATGCGACGCGGTCAAATATAAATTTAGGAAATTACCCCGCTCGCGAATCATACCTGCGACACGGTCAAATATAAATTTAACATTTAAGTCATACCTCTTTCTTGATTCTTTTAAAAATAATGAAAATTCATCTTGAAACTTTAAGTAAATTGCCCCGCTGGCTAAACATACATGCGACGCGGTTACCCATAGATTTCTTAAGCTATTATAATATTCCTCAGCTCTTTTCGAAATTTCGAAGTTCAATTGAAACCTTTTAAATCTTAGATTCATCAAAATTCAATTCTTTCAAGACAATTATTGCTCAACCTAAATCTTACTTCTTCTCAAGGCAAACAATAAACATGAATCGATGGTAATATCACCAAGGCATGGTGTAAACCTAGGCTACCCGGACATAGGCATAACTAGTAGCTACGGGACTCTCGTCACCTCATGCGTACGTAGCCCCCACAACTAAAAGCACATATTAATTTATTTCACCTATTGGGTTAATTCTCTCTACAAGGTTAGAAAGGGGACTTACCTCGCTCCGAAGTTCCATAACCGGCTCCCAAGCCCTTCCGCGACTCAAACTGATGCCCAACGCTCCAAAACTAGTCAATAATTATGCAAACTCATTAATATATACTCAATACTCATTATATTCCTATTTACAACAACTCCCAACTCCGTTTGAAAAATCGATAAATCACCCTCGGCCCCACGTGCCCGGATTCTGAATATTTTAGAAGATAAACTTTTCCCATGACATCACGAACTCAAATATATAATTTATTCTCAATTCCATGACAAAAATTCGTAGTAAAAATCCAAATACACAAGATTCTAGGTTTTTCCACCAAAACCTCAATTTCTACTAATTTCCATGTTCGAATCTAGATAACCTCATGTATTTAACTCAAAATTGTGAAGAAGGAACTTACCCATTGTGATTGATGAAGATGACACTCCAATGTGCTCCAAAATTGGCTCTCATGGGCGAAAATGAAATGAAATAGAGCCAAACCCTCGTTTTTAAAGAAGACACTGCCAGCCCCGACCTTCGCACCTGCGGTTACTTGACCGCTTCTGCGGTTCCGCAGGTGCGTCCCAGCTACCGCTTCTGCGATCTATCCCCCAGCTGCCCACTTCCGCTTCTGCGACTTCCTTTCCGCAGGTGCGGTCTCGCTTCTGCGGCTAGGTGAACGCATCTGCGGTCTCAGCACTTCCCCACCAAACCGCATCTGCGCCCCTTTGGCCGCTTCTGAGGCTCCGCACCTGCGGCCGAAACCTCGCAGGTGAGGTTACACCAGATGACAGCTGGCTTAGAAATCTTCATAAGGCCGAATTCAATCCATTAACCACCCGATTCCACCCGAGGCCCCCGGGACCCCGTCCAATCACACCGACTAGTTCCAAAATATAATGCGGACCTGCTCGAGGCTTCAAATCACATCAAACAACGCTAAAATCATGAATCACACTCCAATTCAAGCTTAATGAACTTTAGAACTTCAAACTTCTACGTTCGATGCCGAAACCTATCAAATCATGTCCGATTGATCTCAAATTTTGCACACAAGTCACATTTGACATTATGGACCTACTCCAACTTCCGAAATTGGAATCCGACCCCGATATCAAAAAGTCCGCTTCCGGTCAAACTTCTCAAAAACCTTCAAATTTCTAACTTTCGCCAAAGGACTCCAAAATGACCTATGGGCCTCCAAATCCACTTCCGGATGTGCTCCCAATACCAGAATCACCATACGGAGTTATTCTTAGACTCGAAATTCCAAACGAACATCGATAACATCGAAATGCACTTCAACCCAAATTTATGAAATTCTTCCAAAATGCTAACTTCCACAATAGGCGCCGAAATGCTCCCAGGTCATCCGCAACCTGACCCGGACATTATCCCAAGTCCAAAATCATCATACAAACCTGTCGGAACCTTCAAATCCTGATTCCGAGGTCGTTTACTCAAAGTCTAACCTTAGTTAGAATCTTCCAACTTAAAGCTTCCGAAATGAGAATTCTCTTTCTCAATCAACTCCGAACTTCTGAAATTCCAATTTCGACCACGCGTACAAGTCATAATACCTAAAGTGAAGCTGCTTATGGCCTCAATCCGCTGAACGACTCGCTAGAGCTCAAAACAATCGGTCGGGTCGTTACAGACATTGTCATAATTCTCATATATGTTAATGATCTACTTATTACTAGTAGCAGCAGTACCATGATTGATGAAGCCAAAAAGGTTATGAATCAACAATTTAAGGTTAAAGATCTAGGGGAATTGAGATTCTTCTTGGGAATAGAAGTTTTGAGATCACAACAGGGCATTATGTTGAATCAAAGAAAGTATACTTTGGAGTTGATTTCAGAGTTAGGTTTGAGTGGAGCAAAGCCTGTAGTTACATCATTGGAGATCAATCAAAAACTGACTTCAGTGGAGTATGATAAAGGAGTTGGAATGCAGGTCGAAGATCCTATGGTAGATGTCACAGGATATCAAAAACTCATAGGCAAGCTTCTGTATCTGACAGTTACTAGACAAGACATAAGCTATGTTGTGCAGACCCTTAGTCAGTTTATGCAAGCTCCAAAGAAGTCCCACATGGATGCAGCACTTAGAGTGGTCAGGTATTTAAAAGCAGCACCTGGCATGGGAGTCCTAATGCACAGGGAACCTAAAGATACACTGCCGAGATTCTGTGACTCAGACTGGGCAGCCTGCCCTGTCACTAGAAGATCAGTTAGTGGCTATGTAGTGAAGTTTGGAAATTTCTTGATTTCCTGAAAATCAAAGAAGCAACATACAGTGTCCAGAAGCAGTGCAGAAGCAGAATATAGAAGTATGGCATCTGCAGTTGCAGAGGTTGTGTGGCTAACTGGACTCTTCCAGGACTTAGGAATCACATTGCAAAAACCAGTTCCTCTCTATTTTGATAGTAAAGTTGCAATGCAAATTGCAGCAAACCCCATTTTTCATGAGAGGACCAAGCATATTGAAATTGATTGCCATTTCATTCGAGGGGAGATCAAGCAAGGACTTCTGGAGACTAAGTATGTGCACACTAAGGACCAACAGGCAGATTTGTTGACCAAAGGATTAAGCTCAAAGCAGCATCACTAACTACTTGGCAAGCTTGGAGTGTTAAACATTTTACACCCTCCAGCTTGACGGGGAGTGTTGGACTGATGTGTATATACTTTAGTTAGTTATATGGGTTAATTTGTACATATTAGAAGTTAGTGGTAGTCATTTGTTATTTAGCATAGTGTTAACTAATTAGTGGATAGTTAGTTATAATATATGTATAGGGGTTCATTTTCAGTTAATGAAGAACCGACATTTCTTCTCTCAAGGTCAATCTTCAATGGAAGAAATCTAACACATTTCAACTTATTGTATCACGTAGTATATTATCTTCACTAGCACAGTATTAATAACTTTTTCTACCAAGTCTTAAGCAGATAAAAAAAATCATGAAGTTTTTGTTTTTGTTATTTAAATAAAGGACTCACAATTGTTTTTACCTATTTTGTTGATCTTTAGACCACACCATTAAATACTTGGCCTGCTTCTCCTCTTTATTACTGCATCTTGAATAGCTCCTCCTCAAAAAGTTGTTTTTATTGAATTGATCAACTCCGTCTCTATTTGTTTGCCAAAATAATTTTTACTGTTATAATTTACTAACAGATGTATCACGTTAGTATTTACCGAATGTAAAATCTATTAGAGTTTCTTAATGTCTAGATCTTATATGCTTGTGATGATAGGCTATAATTGCATATTTTAGTCGCTTATTACACTCGAATTTACTGCACTTTAATTGAGTTTGCGCTTTAATTGCTAGTGTTTTGCACTAATTGTGTGTTTTATGCCTTGTAGGTGTGATTCCGAGCTATACAGATGTTATGGAATGAATTTAAGTGATTTGAAGCTTTGAAGTCTGAGTAAAAGCTCAAGGAATTAAGCCGGGATCGTGTTCGGAGGTCAAATTTGATAATTAAGTACGAACGAAGACTTGAGGAGGCATATTGCGCACTGTCTAGTAAAATAGACATAACTTTTTGCTCAGAACTCCATTTGGGCTCCACAATATATGGTTGGAAAGCTAACTCAAGGGCTACGACTTTCATGTTTTACGTGTTTCCAAATTCCAAACGGAACAGGGTGAAAAACCGCGGTTTTGCCGCGACCGCGGCAGAACCGCGGTAGAAGATGGTCGCAGACAACTGAAGAATCAGAGGGCATGTTTGGCCGCGGTTCCACCGCGACCGCGGCGAAACCGCGGCAGGAAGCGAAAATTTCAGGGACTAAAGTGCAAAATATGGGATTTTAAGTCCTAAACCCTATATTAAACAAAGGAGGCCGGCCAAGAACAAGAGGGGGACATATTTTGGACATAGATTCGACCTAAGGAGGCAAGAACACATTGGGAGCAAGGCGAAGAATTCTTCTACGAGTTTTTTCCTTCCTCTTCCTATTTTTCATTGTTGGTTATGACTTTTAGTATTTTAGTTTTACATACTATTATGAATAGCTAATTTGTTATCTAGAGTTTTGATAGAACCTTTTGTAGGATAAATTCTTGTTATGTTTTTATATAATTGAGCCATAGCTTTTCTCTATTTGTTCAACTACGTTTATATTCTGGTTGATTGAAGAGCTCTCAATTAGCTGTGCCTATTTAGTATGCATAACTCGGGAGAGAGTGCATATTTAGGTAATTTTTGAACAACACCACTCCCAGAGTATATGAGGGATCAATAACCGAGGGTTTAAGGGCGGGATTAGGGATAACGAAGCCTTGGGTGCGATCTGAAGTGAGCTGTATTAAAAGCCAGCTAGCGTAGCTTGGGAGAGTGCGTCTAGTAAATTGTCGTAATTACTCGGGAGAGATTTACGGTAATAAGAGTGCTCATGATCGGTAGAGAATACTTAGGCGAAATTATAGAAGACATAGCGGGAAGGATTCCGACAATAGGGGAAATCATAACTCTAGACCTCCTTAATCTTTTCTCTAACCCTCAGTATCGTTAGTTGTTAATTTACTATTTTAATTTGTTAGTTAATTAGTTAAACACAAGAATCTTAATATCTATAAGTTAGGAATTGTTCAAGCTTGTCTTCTTGGTGATAGTGAACAGCTGTAGCTAAACCTTAGTTCTCTGTGGGATTCGACTCCGGACTTGTAAACCGGATTATATTTGCAGCGACCGCATTGTCCTTTTTATAAGGCATAGTTGGGCGTGATCAAATTTTGGCGCCGTTGCCGGGGAACTAATGGTGTAGTTGTAGCTGTATATATTGCTAGGGTTCAAGTTTGAACTTTTATTTTGTTTTGTTTATTCTTGGTATTTTTATTTGTTTATTTGAGAAACATGACATCATGGAATTATGAGAATTTTTGTGTTGGTAATTCTACTTTTGATCCTCCTTATGCATATTGTGAAGGAAACCACCCAGGGCAAAATTATCAAAATATTCCTGAGAGCGAGTTTTGTGCACCAACTCAATCTTATGTGTGGAATGTGTGTGATATGTGTGGTGGTCAAGATGGTCACTTTCATGGTTGTTCTTATAGTTCTTATCTTCCCCCAACCTCTTACTTTGATGGTTCTTCTTTTTCTGGTGAAGTTAATAGGAACAAAGAACCCATGGAAGCTGACCTAAAGAAGCTCGAAGATATGTTAAAGTGCATTTTGGAACAACAGAGTAAATTACTACTGCGGATAGAAAGGCAGGAGGAAAATATTCACAACTTGAAAGTTCACATGAGTCAACTGGTTGAAGTTTTTAATGCTCAACAAGCCAATATTGTGAATAGTATCCAAGAAGAGCAATTAGATACAGAAATTGATGAGCTAGAGGAGGAGGCTAGAGTAGAACACCAACAATCAATCACACTAGATTTTGAGGATGTCGATGTTGTAGAAGAGATACTAGAGTCAACCAAGGATATTGAGGATACATATTTAGTTGACTCTATTGTCATTAGTGTTGAGAATGTAGATAGTCCCAATGTTCATGTAGTTGAGCGCATTGGTCTCACTCCAAGCATTCCACACNTCGTTGCCGGGGAACTATGGTGTAGTTGTAGCTGTATATATTGCTAGGGTTCAAGTTTTGAACTTTTATTTTGTTTTGTTTTTTCTTGGTATTTTTTTTTATAACTGTTGATTTGAGAAACATGACATCTTGGAATTATGGGAATTTAGGTGTAGATAATGCTACTATTGATCTCCATACATATTGTAAAGGAAACCACCCGTGGCAAAATTTTCAAAACGTTCCTGAGAGCAAGTTATGTGCACCAACTCAATCTTATTTGTGGAATGTGTGTGATGTGTGTGGTGGTAAAAATGGTCACCTTCATGGTTGTGCTTATATTTCTTATTTTCCCCAACCCCTTACTATGATGGTTCCACCTTTTCTTGTGAAGTTAATAGGAACAAAGAACCTGGGAATGCGAACCTGAAGGAGATCAAGGATATGCTAAAGTGTCTTCTGGAACAAAACAATGAGAAACAATTGCACATAGAAAGGCAAGAGGCAACTATTCGCAAGTTGGAGGCTCAATTGAGTCAAGTGGTTGGAGCTTTTAATGCTCAACAATCCAATATTGATGATAGTAGCCAAGAAGAGCATGAATTTGAGGTATTAACTGGGGAGGTCAAAGCAGAACATCAACAACCTAGCCAACTAGAATTTGAAGATGTCAATGTTGAAGAAGTGAGACTAGAGTCAGCCAAGGACATTGAGGATACAAATTTTGTTGACTCTAGTATCATTGATGTTGAGGATGCTGAAAGTCCTGAAGTTCATGTGTGTGAGCGCATTGGTCCTCACTCCAAATATTTTTCTACATTGTGCTTGGATGACGATATGAAAATAGAGTCATCCGAGCCGATTGAGAAGTCAAGGAATGAAGAACAAGGTGCCTATATTCTGGAATTTTTCTTACCAGAAAGACAGGACTACATACCTCATCTAAAAGCCAAGAAGTGTAGAATAGTACAATGGTTGCTTGGACCAATTAGATTTGTTCCTCCACCCCTGGAGCATAGCCGAAAACTTGATGCCAAATTGGGGGTTCAATTCATAAGCTCGAGGTGGAGGCAAAAAGTGATTCGCGTCGTGCCGCGACGTTAAATCAAGCGCTTGTTGGGAGGCAACCCAGCTTTATTGCTTTCTTTTATTTATTTTTTATTTTTATTTTTTTTAATTGTATTATTTTTGTAGTGTCAATTTTTTTATTTTCTAGGAGCATGTAAAGCAAAGGTATTGGAAGAATGCAACAGCAAACCAAATGGTTGGAACTAAGTGTGAGGTACCCGCACGAAGGACCAAACTGGGGAGAAGTCTGAGTACCCCATGAGCTGTAGTGCTTCGGCCTTTGGCCTACCAGGGAGTTTCTTTTACCCTCTTGTATGTATGGGTGTGCATTGGGGACAATGCACAATTTTAAGTGTGGGGTGAGGAGATTGTCTGGGTGACTTTTCATGCTACTTTAGCTGTGTTCATTTAATTAAATAATTTTTTATTTTTTTATTTTTTTTTAAAAAGAGTGGACTTTTCCTGATGACGGATCTTCTAGACAGTTTTCTTGAGGGAAGTAAGTCTAAAGAAAATACCAAAAAGATTTTTTGTTTTGTTAGGTAGTGTAGCAATTACCCCTTGGTTTTTCTTCAAACCACGGTTCTTTTCCAAGGGTTTTATTTGAACCGGGTATAGTTAGTTTTTTTTTGGGAGTAGGAGCCATTGTGTTGTGTTTTCAATTGAAGCAA